TCAGTGAATCTATCATAATTATTGAAGATAACATCATTGGTTTGTTACTTCGAAAAAGCTTCGCATCTTCAGTTGTATTAATGCACTGGCAGTTAAACAGATTGGCGTTAGACTTCGTCGAAGTGCGAGTATGAATAATAGTTGCGTTTTGGTATTCGTATTGTACCATAATGCCTCGTATTTATGAAATTTATTGAAATTTCATATAATTAACTTGTACGAGCAACTACTTAAATGAAGCAAAAAAGAAAAATTTAAATAGAAACATCACTCGATGCTCTACTTTAACCTCCAATAACTATCGTTGAATATTGACACGTTGCTTAATTTTAAGACTTTTATTGGTGGGAAATAAATTAATTAAATATTAAGTTAGTAATTCTCAAATAATTAACAATTAACTGAAACGTTTTATGTAATAAGTAAAAAGCAGCACGTGGTGCAGACTGGGTGCAACTGGATGATTCAGATTGCACTTTAACATCACTATAACACTTCAGATTCCATGACGTCTGTTATTTACAAAAGACGATTTTCTAAAGTCGAAAATTGGAAAGTAGATCCAAGAACTGGCATGATGAAAGAAACCAGAATTGCAGTATTAACATTTCTAGGAAAAACGAAACTGTAACGTATCAAAACATTTGATTACGTTTACCAAATTCGTGGCAAAATTCTTTCCAGCGGTCGAGTAATTTTTGAATTTGATCATTAATTAGTTGATTATATAATGAATTGCAATTATGACAAATTCTATTAATTTCGAATGCAGTACTAATTTAATTGTTATATTAATTTATAACTGTAGAGCACGTCCAGTTTCAACTGAAATATAAATCGCTATTTCTCGTGTATTCATTTTACATCGTCTATTCGTTTTCAAATTTTTCTTACTACTTTTGGTAATTGATTACTTGATGATTGTCGAGATGAAGAGCTTATATTAGTTGAGATAAAGGATGTCTACTTTCCATTGTGATTGAAGTACTGAGGAATTTACTAAAATTTACTTTATTAAATATTCTGAATTATTCATATTGTTCAAACGGAAAATGATTTTCACCACCAAATACTTCGACAATTTCACTCTGAATTATTCATATTGTTCAAACGGAAAATGATTTTCACCACCAAATACTTCGACAATTTCACTCTTAGTACCTAAACACGTATGTGACAATAGGATCGATTAATAGTTCAGACATTTCGAGTTTTCTTGGATTTGAAAAAGATAGGAAACGCAATAAGAGACGTTACAAAGAAATGTTATATTTTCCGTGTAACATCAGATGTAGCCACAACTAGCAGATGCGAATGAAATGAAAGAAGTATACTAGTCATAGTAAGCACTAATATGAGTTGTTTAAAGTACAACAAAGCTCGAAATTCGCAAATTACTTTCTGTTTAAAATACTAAGAGTTAAACGCCGTGTAATATGAGAAAGATGCTTTCAGGACCTGAAAGAAAATAATCATTAATGAATCAAGTAAATGTTCAGTTATTTTCTGTAAACAATACTCTGCGTAACTGTTAAGCTAACCTGTACGAAAGTGAATAAATTCAAAGGAACCAGTCCGCCAGCTGTTAGTACGGACGGATTTAAACATTTTCGCAGCACGTATAACATTTGAGATTTGACCAAACCATTGTACCACTTGGCTTCATTTCTGTACATTGAATTATATTGTGAATTTAGATCGACTTCAATATGTTACTGAAGCAATGAAATTCCTACAACTTATTTAGAAATTGAAATTATCCAACGACAATAAATGTTTTGCTTACTAAATTCAAATTGAAATCGTTGGAATTAAATTGAAAATTATCCCACAAAAATGTTTATCAGTCTTACATTGCTTCAAATATTTCGTCGTTGGTATTGTCCACCTTTTGCCCGGTTGCCGTCAGAAACAATAGATGACCAATTTGACTAATAGTGAGGGCGCAAAATGTGAAGTAAGTGGATCCTACTTCTAGCGTTGACAACTAATCGCAGGAAATAAAATCATTCATTAAATGAATTTTTATGCATTAATTTAACGGCATATGGCCTGTGGTAACAACAAACTGTGGATCGATTAATTAATACATTAAACAAATATATATTCCGTTATGTACCTCTACTGAAAATACTTAATATATTGCTTCTAAAACAGGAAAATTGACTAACATTTTATACAGCAAAGGAATAGATTCTTACAGAATATGCATGCAACAGAAATATTTATTTATCTTTCATCAATACGAAGAATTAAACGAGTCTGTCCCTTGTTCATTATATTCATTATATTCCGTAACGTAAATGGTGTCCATCAATTGAAGTTCAATATGTGTTTTCCAATTAGTGTGATAAAATTACGCAATGAAATTTTTATTAGTGTATTGAAACCTACCTTCACGAAAGTAAATGTGAGTCCTATGATTATTATGGCCAAGACTACCAAGAAATAATTCACGTAGCAGCCGTCGATTTTATTCACGCATCTAACGTAACAGATGGTATTAAAAAATCTGTCACGTACAGGTTTATTGCTTGTGTATGTAACATGCAACGATACTAACTCGGCAGCTTTTCTGTGTCCCTGAATGGCTCGGCACACCTTCGCGTTAGCTCTTTGCAATACGTCGTGGTCCTTTTCGTCATATTCATTCATCTCATCGAACGCGTGTTTGAAACGGTATCTATGTATATCTTTATCTTAATTACATGTAGTCATAGATGCATTTATTAAAAACATAAGAAGAAATAGAAATAAAAAATACATGATATTTAGACGAATGAATTCTAAACATCGCGATAATGATGAAAGTTCTATCGAAACAATGCCACTCGGCGCCAATTTCTCTCTACTTCCCTTGCACTTTGTTACCGTTCCACCAATTTGAGAAATGTGCGCCGATCGTGATATTTCTACGTGAATTTCTCCGTTTTATTGATGCCGATCACATCTTTATTTAAGTGACAGAGAAAAGCATACGCACTGATATATACTCACCCGCTGACAGTCAACAAGGCGCAACCATGATATATAAAATAAATCAAAGTGATGTCACTGACGATATACACAGTAACTGGTACTACTACTCCCATCGACATGTGAATTATTGTCAGATAATAATATCGCTCTTCATCAACAAAATAATAAGCCGGGTAGAGTAATTCGCGGCCTCGTGACTCGTTCAGAGGTTTTATGATATTCAGAATAGGAGGTATTGCCGGTAGAAAGATGTACGCCAGTCCGGTAAAACATAACATGCCTAAATACAAAAAAGATACATTTCAGCGATTTCAATGACATTGAGACATATTACTCTTCGAGAGAATGTATTTTACATTTCCATGTAACAAACAACTTCGATACGTGTTGTAAATTTCAGTAGAAAAATTATCAACTTCATTTTCTGATTATCTTTCTAATTGATAGTATTTGTAATGTAAAGATTTATTCTTCTCTTTTTATTACCTTTATATACGAAGGAGAAACCTGCCGCCTTGAAGTATATATTGAAAATATTGAAGTATATATTCAAAATCTCTTGTTCACACTTCGTATGTCCCGCGAGGTGGTCATCCACGATTTCGTGTAAAAGTTCTTTTAACTACAAGTTTAAAAACAAAGATAAATTATCGGAGATAATATTTTAGAATCGTTGATCGGCTTTTCACCTTCTTCGCATTCAGGATGTAATGATATTGTTTAACGAAGATGCTTATAGCTACATCCAGATACACCATCTGATCCAATAGCACGTCCGTACTGTAGAATATTACTACCCGCGATGGCTATAATATGTAGAAAAATCCCACTACGATTATTTGTTTGTTCGATTACGTAAAGAAACTTCTAGGTGAGAAATATTATCTATCATGAAAAAGAAAATATACCTCGGTTACAACTGCAAACATAACCACAAGAAATGTAAGAAGTCGTAGAAAAAGTTTAGTGTATCTATTCTGCTGTGGCCACGTACCAACTAGCTGCGCGAAAAATTTCATATCTTCAAGATATTGATCGTCGATTGTTTGCCATTTCATGATCGTGCAAAGTGTATCCGAATATTGAGATACGATCCACAGGAAAAGTAAAACTACGTGCAATAAAAGGCTATTTATTTAATAAGCGAAAAGTGCAGTCGTTAATTGGATGATATAGGACGCTTTCTCCTCTCTTTACATTTTTCACCCTATCATTTGCAAGGGGATAATTCTAGAGAAACTTAGGGGTAAAACAACAAAACGATACGATAAGTGGATAAGTGAACCCATGTGCAGATAATGAAAAATAAATTGTGAGATGTATACCTTTCGTACAACGTTACTTTGGTAGTACTTTGGTGAATCATTCTTTGCTTTCATACGAGCAATCGGCCAATATCATCTTTTCCTTATTTTCTCAAGTAAGCACAAGTGTTTCTTGATTGAAGTATTTTCGTATATATGACGTATAGGAGAAGTACTACAAATTATAGAAGAGTTTATTTTCATTCAGATTTACATATATATAATTCAGGCATATAGTTTACAAGTTGATTGTGGAATTCAACGATATGCTGTATAAATCAATAATCATAAATGTGATTTAGATATTACTGTAAAAAAAATAGCACATGAATAAAAATAAAAGCAGATTATTGCTTTATTTCGAGTCGTGTCGTCATCTTCATATTGTGTATGGAATTTAATGCGCGTGATCTCTGCATTTCCGTTCTGTTAGACAGAAATAATTAGATAATTCTGATAATTGAAATTGAATTGATTTTCTCTTTTTCTCAATTACTTGCGTGACTTATTTTATTCTAGTACTAATAAACAATACTCATTCACAAATGCTCCGAGAATTTCATTCTCATTAGCTACGTACATATTGGCAATAGCTTATCGATACAGACGAAGTATATAGATATACTTAACATGCAGTCATTGACTAATTAGTACAGACCGAACATCCAATGCTTTTTGTCATGTCTCACATTACGTTTGTCACCTTACCAGTTTCATGTCACGCTTTAGCTATCGTTTTAGATAATTGTTGCACTGCGACCGTTATTGGCGATAGGGAAATTAGAATAAAAAAATATAAACTGTGTTGCTGTTTCTATATGAATTATCGAAAATTCTTTATCTATTACGTCCAAGTTAACACTTCATTGCGAGCATACATACATACGTATACGTATATATATATATACAATTAATAAAATAGAAAACGCAATGAAAGAAATATTGTATTTTCTATGTAATATAAAATGTTAATGATAACTAAATGTTCCGAATACAATGTAAAAAATATACTAGTAGCCAATGATACTAATACACATGACTTACTAACATAATTTGTCTAAGAATTACACTAAAGTTCGATCCTTGAAATTCGAATTACTTTCTCTTCGAACTACGCAGACCTAAACACTGTGTAATACGAAAAAGATGCCTTGAGGACCTGAAAAGTAATTAGTTGTTAATTGTCTTTCGGAAGGAATAGTTAGGTGTTCTGTGAAAGTAATCTAACCTGTACGAAGCTGAACAAATTCAAACGGACCAATCCTCCACCTGATAGCACAGGCGGATTTAAACATTTTCGCAACACCAGTACGTACAATAACTGCGTTCTAGACGAACCGCTGTACCAATTGGCTTCATATCTGTATGATATCGAATTGTATCGTGAATTTAATTCGGCTTAACTGGAACATGTTTTTGAATGAATCACTACAACTTGTTTCAAATGTACTGAATAATTGAACATATTCTACAATACTGTTTATCGATCTTACATTGTCTGAAAGATTTCGTTGTTGGAGTTCTCCACAAATTGTCCCATAATCGTCAGAAATAACAGATGGATCAATTGCGCAACAGTGAATGTACAAAACGTGAAGTATCTGGTCCCCCTTTCCATCGTTGACAACTAATCACAAGAAAAAATAAAATCATTTATTAAATTAACGTTCATATATTTATTAAACAGTGTATAAACTATGATCACAACGAACTATGTAACGACTAATACATCTCGTATAAATATTATATATTTATATACTTCTGCTTATATATTTAGTACATTCT